ATAGACTCAAAATAAAAGGTAGTTTCAAAATTTCATGAAAAACTCACATTGTGGTTTAGTTACATTTCCTCTGGACTTCTCCCCCAACTATTTTATATGGTTAATTGTTTTTTTTTTCTGGCAAAGCTCCCATGCCAATTTCACTGAGGAAAGGCTGTCTTTTAAATAAATTATGAGGGGCAATCCAATTTTTATGTGCAAATAAACTTTTGTCCAAATTGATAAATTAAACTTAACCAAAATTAAGATTTTTTACCTAAAAAAAGTTAATATAACGAAAAATATGCCTACATTGGGGAAAATGAAATATTTGAGAGAGAACTTATACTTAGAATTTACAAAAATGTCAGTGGTTAATAACAAGGAAACAAGCGTGCTTATTAAAGTAGGCAAAGGAGTTGTCAGACAGTCAACAAGCATACGAAAAGGTCCTAAAGTTGCGTACACATTGACGTACCTCTATCCGGCCACTGGGACTGATGGAATGATTTTCTAAAGCAGCCCATGTTAATATAACCTAGGATTCAAAACAACAACAAGTTTTTTTATAATCGTCTGTGTGAATGCAAAATGACCCCTAACTCTATAGCAGAACAGTCTGAGATATTTTATAAAAGCTGAGCATGCAGCTTGTTATAGCCAAGCCATTCTACCCCTAGATATTACCCAACAGTAATGCAAGCATGTGGCCATACAAACATTTAACATGAATATTCATAGTAGCTGTATTTATAGTAGTCTAAAGTTGCAGGCAACCTAAATGTCCAACAGGTGAACAAATAAATGGAGGTATAACTATGCAATAGAATAATAATCAGATTAAAAAGAAAGGACTACTGTTTCCTAGGAAGAAATCATTCTCATTATTAGCAGTGAAAGAAATCAGTCAATAAGAATTCATTACATACGGTTTTATTTATATGAAACTGAGCTCAGTGGAAGCTCTTCTGCTATAGAAAGCGGATCCTGGCTTGCCGGAGGATATAAGAAAGTCTACTGAGGGGGGCAAGGCCGGTGTTACAAGGGCAGCACCAGGAAGCTGTTGGGAGGACAGGCATGTTCCTCTGGTGGAGTGTGTAGATGGATTCTTGGGGATAAAGGAATATGCATGGATTGCAGTAATTTCTTGCACCAACACAAATGTGTTTTTAAATTCCGTGTAACATGAATTCTTTGAAGGAACCTCAAGCGTCTGTAAAAAGCAAATCCAACGGTGTGCTTTAAATATTTTAACAAAGTTAATTTTAAAACAAGACAATTGTCTCTGATGTAAATGCACTGGTCCCTTAGAAATGCACAAATGACATATTACATATAATGCGGAGAACAGATTTGATTCCCAGTTAAGGAAGCATCTAGTTCTGGTTCTGAAAGTTTTACTCGGATACATATTCTTCACAAAGAAAACAAGAACAGCAACAGCAAAACCCTCCGTTTGTCTGTGGGAGAACACAGGAGCCTGGGCAGTGTTTTCATTCTGGGTGTTCCCGGCCTCGTCTGCTGGGAGAGAAAACTTCACAAGTATTTTCTATTTCGACAACCAGGATCAGGCTATGGACCTGAGTGCTTGAGTAACTCCAAGTAATAATCAGACTGTTTAACGAGAAGACACTGAAGGTTTTATTTGTCTCGTGAAATCCCAAAGTTCTGGAGTCTGGCCTTGTCACAGTTCATTTCTGACTCACTGAGAAAGGGCGGGGAGTAATTTTCATAGAGTTCATAGGGTTCAAACTCAGAGTTCCTTCCCAATGAGCACCCCCATGCAGACATGTCGGGTTGGGAAAGCTTGGAGGGAGCATGTTTTATGAAAGCAGCACAGCTAAGCTCAGAGCTCAGACCTTGTGCAGCATCGCAGCTCTGCGAACTCTGTTCTAAAACCATAGGACAAACGTTTTCATGAGACATCAGCATGAACACTCTGGAACAACTATCCTGAAAACACGGAGGGAGAAGGGATATTGAATGTAACGAGGTTTGGTGTCCCAGGCAGGAGGAGGAGAGATGCAACGCAGTAAAGTATGGACAGGAGAGGCGAGAGGAAACGGAAGAAGATGGAGAGATGAATACTTACCACGCACAGGGTAACACTGCACTGTGTGACCGTCTAAGTCCGTGCTTAGGCATCTGGCAAAAGGAGCTGCAGAAGAATAGCCAGCTAATCAAGAGACAACGCAAATACAATATATATGTGAGAAATCTGCTTAGTGTTCTTTTAAAAAAATTGTTTATTTTTGTTGCACATTAAGACACATGAAATGATTCCTTAGTTTCAAAGTGCAGGGCAAGCGTCTGCAGTGGAGATGAGTCAGTCACCCGGTTACTCACAGGATTGGCAGGTGTTTGTAAATCTGTGACTGCACCTGTACTCGCTTCGTCCAGGTGTCACTGTAACTGGATGACGTCATCTCTCCTGAATAACGAATGAGTTAATGAAATCTTTGACAGGTGATCACAAGAATACACGATCAAGACAGAAATGCAAGAATTAGATGAGCACAGGAATTTATTTATTTTATTTTTTCATATTTATACATTTAATTTTTTTAAGATTTATTTTTATTGGAAAGGCGGATATATAGAGAGGAGAGACAGAGAGGAAGATCTTCCGTCTGATGATTCACTCCCCAAGTGAGCCGCAACGGCCGGTGCTATGCCAATCCGAAGCCAGGAGCCTCTTCCGGGTCTCCCACGCGGGTGCAGGGTCCCAAGGCTTTGGGCCATCCTTGACTGCTTTCCCAGGCCACAGGCAGGGAGCTGGATGGCAAGTGGGGCTGCCAGGACTAGAACCGGCGCCCATATGGGATCCCGGGCGTGCAAGGTGAGGACCTTAACCACTGCGCCACTGCACCAGGCCCTACACATTTAATTTTAATTTTAATTTTTCTTTTAAAAAAATGAATTACATTGCATTATGTGACACAGTTTTATAGGCACTGGGATTCCCCCCACCCCTCCCCAGACCCCCCCCCCCATGGTGGATTCCTCCACCTTGTTGCATTACTACATTTCAAATTCAGTTGAGATTCTTTCATTGCAAGCATCTACCAAGCATAGAGTCCAGCATCTGATTGTCCAGATAAGTTCAACGGTTTCTTGGGGAGACCATCTCTGGTCTGAAGGTAGAGCCGGCAGAGTATCATCCCGATCAATTAAAAGCCCCGACATTACATCAGTAATAATTTATAACGTTATGGAATTAGTTGACATGGTATTGAGTATCCAACATGTTAAAAGAGAAAAAATAAAAGAATGCAAGTTCTGAACCACATCCTGTGACTTCTACATTGATACTTCAATTGTTAGTTTATATACAACTGGGTTCTATACACCTTAAAATGGCTATAGATTACTATTCAGCTGTCTCATGTCTATTTTAATTTTAGCATTTAGCAGTTTATAGCATTGAAGCATGATTTTGCTGAACCTGGCTGTTTTTTGGGTAGTCTAACTCTATAACTCTAATAAGACATATGTCAACAGTTGAGGTGCAGAACAGTTTTAGGGGGGGTGTGCAGAGAAATCTGCAATACCGCAGTGAGGAGTAACTAATCTTTGTGTCCCACCCAGTGAGTTATAAGTGCATTCCCGCGGACCGTTTCCTGTCTGTTTCCAAGCTTTCCTTGTTGTTCTCTTTCTATTCTAGTTTTTTGTTTGTTTGTTTGTTTTGAGGGGTTTCCGGAGCGATCCTGACGGTCATTACGAGAGAGGGTGGGGACCCAAAGTCGGAACCAGGCGAGGCCCAGAGAAAGCTCCTCTCCCTAGTCCCGTGTTCTTTGAGCATCTCATGACGGCACACGACGGACTTTGTGAGCTTTTTGGGAAAAGACACTTGGCCTCTTGACTGCAATAAGCTCCACCACCACCACAGGGCGAACAGTCCCGGGTCTCTGTGACCTGAAAACCGCGAGGAAGCCAGGAATGATGAGAGCATCGGGGAGCAGCCGGAGACCACTCAGGCCTGACAGCTGACGGACGACGGCTCCGCTGTGCGGTCCGAGAAGACTGCGGCTTCTGCATGGATAGTTTTCTTGGAATAAAACCAATAGTTTTCTTTGCCACTTCAGAGTTTACAAGGTCTATTAATGGCAAAACACGGTCATTTCAAGAGGAGAGATCTAGGCGAGAGGGGGAGGGCGGCGAGGAGGAGAGGCAAGAAGGGAAGAGAAGAACTTACAAGCCGCAGAAGTTGGCGTTGACCAGGGACTATTACAGTTAAAGCCTGCACTGCCCTCAGGTGGTCAGACCTGAAAGTGCAGAACTGAAAGGATCCCGGCAGGTGCCTGATTTTGTGTGATCTGACCCTGCGCTCCAACAGGGCGTGTCAGCATCACCTAACTCACTACATCACAACTCTGGCTTCATCGCCGTGAAACAGATACTTAAACGAGAAAAAACAGGCTTTGTGTCGGATCAGTTGATTCCACTTGGCATCATTTAATGATGGCTTCAGTTTAAAAATGAAAAGGAGTCTGAGCAGTTACAATGAAATATCTGCATGAACATGTCACTAAACTGGGATTCCTGGCATCATATTAAAAGCTCGTTAGAATACTAGGTTACTGTTTCAACGAGGGTTGGTGAGGCACTTTTCTCAAGGTATTCTCTGATCTAGACACATTTTTAATCTCAAATATACATCACTGCGATAGCTCACACTTATACCAGAGGGACCCACACCGAGAGCCACGTGATGTGTGTCCACGCTCACACGGAGCAGCTGAGGCACAGATGGGGTTTAAATCCACCTCCACGGACCAGTTCCCTCCGTCCAGCACAGCGGTGCCGCGCCTGCTGGGAAGGGGGCCCGTTATCCAAAGGCCTTGGGCTGCACAGGATGCGACCAGTGTCACTTCCCTAGTCCTAAAGGAATAAAACTAACGTATCTGTCATTTCCTTCTGCCTGCTGAAAAAAAAAAAAAAAAACGAAACTAAAACAAACACAAAATCCAAAATAACAACACGCAAAGCTCCAGTTTGGAAGGGTTTGAGAGAAGCGTATTTGAGGAAAGCTGTTTTGGTCTGTTTATTACTGACAAACTGGAATCTCATTCTAGCACCCTCAGAGCGCCTCGCATCCGGAACACGTCTCACTGGGCGCGCACCTGCTGGCTCAGAGGAGCGCCCTCAGCTGTGACCTTGAGTCAGTAAAAGCCACTTCATCAGCCTTGTCAATTCTTCCTTCAGAAACGGCTCGAAAGAATCTTTGATTTTTTTTTTTTCTTTGATGGACATTCCGATTTCCTTCATGCTCACACCTCTGGAGGACAAAAGAAAAAAAAGAAAAAATCCCTCTCCCTCGCTCAGTAGGAGTGGTGTAGACACCGGCTGGTAGACACCGCGGTGTAGACGCGGCTGCTGGCAGGGGCTGCGCGCTTCGAGCCGCTGCTGCCCTCTGCTGGCCGTGCGGCGTTAGACTTTAGAAAGCGCAGTGCACAACGCTCCAGTCAGGATGATGCAAAAAGCCAGCACCAGTAAGAGGTAGTTTTTCAGACCCTGGATAAAAAGAAAGAATTATAATGAAAAAAAAAATACCAGACTCAAATGTACAGAAGGCACGCGCTGCTCAGGACCTTGTCAGTCAGGCTGCAGCCACCTGGATGCGTTTGGCTTGCGTTGGTTTTGCTGCTCGCTCCTGGGGGTCATCCAGATGAGCTTGCAACGTGCAGGGGCTTCCCCAGTCAGCGAGTCAGGCGTGCAACCTGGGCGCCGACTCCGCTTCCGCGCTTACTAGGGTTAACTGGACATGCCCGCGTGTAGCGAGTTCGACAGAAAGTCACCGAGTTACCACATGTGACAGGGCAGTTCATAAGTGAAGAGCTGTGCTGGTTTGAAAGCGTCTACCAGGACTTTCGAACATTCTGGTCTCCATTGTAAGCAGCCAGCCTTCAACCTAAAGCATCACCCACTTAGCTAGGGACATGCCCAGCAGGGCACAAACCCCAGGCGGAAGGGCTACCATGTGGAAGATGACACTGGAGGCCGCGGGCCTGTCTGAACAGACAGGGACCTCCAGGATCAGGCCGTGATCACCTCTGAGCTCATGGGAGACGCCTAAGGAGCAGGCGCTCGGACACGCAGAGAGGGTCAGACGGGCACTGTGCAAAGCCACACACTCCGGCCAGACGGCGAGCAGGGAGCCCAGGAGGCCAACAGCCACCTGTAAGGAAGTGGTTGCCGTGCTCCCGAGGGAGGAGGATGAAGAGCAGGTGCATGGCTGGCGCTGGACCAAACGGCGGGCAGCAAACGCAGAGCTGGTTAGGAAGAACGGGGCACTGGGCCGAAAGCCGACACACCCCGACCGCAGCTAGCTCATCTCTGGATTAAGAAAGAAACATCTGCCCGTGTTAAGCAGAAATATTTCATTTCTGCATGTGCCACCTCTTAGAGACACTGGTAAACCTCTGACATCGGGCAATAACTACCTCATATGGCCACAGGCATTCCTCTTTCCTGTTCAATACTGTAGCAGCTCTGGTGACCGTTTTCAGCATGTGCCACTGTCAAGCTCCCTCTATGTTCTGGCTGTTCCCTTCCAAATCAGCTTGCGTGTGCCCCCTTTACTGACGGATCCGAACACTCCACGGCTTGGGTTGAGCCTCGTAAAGTCAAATTGGACTTGATTTTAGTTGTACGGTCTCTTCCCAGTCACACTTTCCGACTTTTTTTTTTTCCCAAGTAACAATGACCAATTTTATCTCATGAAGAAGACACGTAAGGCTCTTGCAAGAAAACAGGGGGGAAGGGAGAAGCTGCTCTCAGGAGAGGGGCACCCGAGCTGCCCCCGTGGAAGGGACAGGGGCTGACCACACCTCGTGGGAACATTCCTGCCCCGGGCCGCCGGCCTGCAGCACGAGATCCCCGGGGTGAAGGGTAACACCCGTACCCTCTTTCCCAAGCCAAGGACGTCAGCCTGAGTTTCTGAACTCTACTGATGTAACTGGTGGTTCTCCTCCCTCATCTGAACTAGTTTCTGATAAACTGTTATCAGAATTATTGTAGACACGGTAATAAAGTGCGTATTTATCATGGTTTAAAAACGGAATCTTGTAAAAATCTCCCAGGAACAACAAAGAGCAGGAGATAAAAGGATACTTGAACTGCGAAAACATCCAAGGGATTTACTGAAGATCCAAAGTCCCATCATGAACTCTGACACAAGGTGTTTGGGCCGCACCCCGGTCCGGGCAGCTAGAAGATGTCAGCCTCGAAACCCCCGTCCTCAAGGATGAAAGGCTTGGCTCCTGCTTTCTTCTTTAGACCTTGGGGAGTTTCATCTGTTTTCTAATTTTTAAAAAAGTGCTTTAAAATATTCTTCCAGAAATGCAGTGTTTCGTGAATGACTTTGTCCTACACTTGCGCGTCCTTGAAACTCCCCCGTGAACCAGGCAGAAAGCGCTCGGAGCATCTGCAGCGGCAGGCACCCTGGACAGCTCTTAACTCTGGCTCTAGACGGATCAGGCTTGATTTTCAACGTCATTGAGATGAATAACTTACACGGGTCTTCCTTTCTCTCTCGATTCCAATACAAAAGAGCAGTCATTTCTGATGTCAAAATACCCTTATTTTTGGAGGAAATGGTGTCAGGCTACGGATATCTCAGAGATACAGGATATGTGCTTTCTGTGCTGTTTATTTCGAATGCGCAATCGGCCAGCCCTGAGAAGCTACTACGGACTTCGGCAGAGGGGGAGTGTTCCGCTGGGCTTCTCTGAGCATCACCAGGGATGGAACTGGAGAGTGAACTCCGCCCCAAGGGAGAGGGGTGCCTTCAGGACTGGGGGTGCATCCTCTGCCTCTCCCACGATACATGTGTCCTAGTTTACATTTTAACAGTTAAGTCAATCTTGTAGGAATCCGATCTTACTGGATTTTAAGATTTGCAGCTGTTTTATTTCACATTTCTGAAAAAAGATAATGCTGTGCCTGGTGCGGTAGCCTAGTGGCCTGAGCCCAGCACTGGTCAATGTGCCCAGAATTTCAAAAAAATTAAAAACCCCTTTAAAAAGAGAAAGGAATTATAACCAAAATAAATGAAAAATATATGTGAAATTAACCTATGTATCTGTAAATGTCTTAGGTTGTTCTTGTATTCAAAAAAACAAAACTCTAGATTACAGTTCAAACAGTCTAGGGAATAATGTGAGAGTCTTCCTTGTATTATATCTTTAAATCAAAGCATCTCATCACATTTGAAATGCAACACTGATTGATGACTTTACAAATCAGCGACGAGTACCTTCTCTCGAAGCTTCCCAGGGACTGGCATGTCAGGCCTTCCCGGAAGCATATACAATTTTCAGATATACAGTTTTAAATACTAAGTACTCTTCTTATTAGGATCAATTCCTATGTTTTTTTAAGCCTGCCCTTTCTTGTACATACCTGTATTTCTTTAAACATGAAGACACCCCACATGGCAGCTATTAATCCTGGACCCTTAAATAAAAATAAGAACTTTAATTAACTGGATGTTTTCTTATGACTGTACTTTACAAAGTCTCAGGTGGAGAACATATAAAAATATTCTCAGTGAAAACTGTCCATAATCTTAACCACAATTCCACATGATGCTAAATGTTAAGTCAAAAAATCACAACTCCTTTTTTTTTCATGGTCTTCATAACTATTTTGGGCTATATGAAAGTTAGCGTGTGACACATGTATAATAAACTATCAAAATCAGAAAGTGGATTTTTGTCTGCTGACCTAGTTCCTTAGGACGTCAGCAATGAAATTAGCAAGAAACAGCAGCACACTGCTGGCTGTGGGCTGGGACACTGCTCAGCTGCTTGTCTCTGACGGTGGAAGGACACCGCTGCCTGCTAGCTGGCTCTGAACCCGAGCGTTTGGTTACTCAGGAGTCTGCTGAGGGTGAAGGGAGCAGGGCGAAAGGGGAACCAGAGACCTAGTGAAAGCGTCCGCCCGCTGGGCCACTCCCAATCCGGGTCCTCCCCGTCGAGAGCCATGACCCAATCGCGTGAGTGTCTGGTGCTTCCGTGTATGTTAGCAGCACGCCAGAGTTGAGAGCAGAGCCGGGACTCCAGCCCAGATATTCTGATACGGGTGCAGGTGTCCCAGCTGGCCTGTTAAAACTCTAGGCCAAACACTTCTCCCTCCCATGAAATTTTCAAAGACCCTTTATAATAATACGTGCAATGTGACATTTGGTACAAGGATCCAACAACCATCTGAAAGGACATTAAAGCCTCTGCTTCAACAAGCTTGCTAAAATGAGATTGGCAATGTTCCCAAATGATGGCGAGGATGAGGACTCCCAGGTGCCAGCCTGTTCATCTGAATCCGTCCCATCCATCGCACTCCTGGAAACTCAGACTCCAGGGCAGCCTTTAGAGATCTCACAAAACTTAGGTTTACATTGGAAAAACAAAAATTTGGGGGAAAAAAAAATCAGTGACTTACAGCAGTGATGATTGGGAAGCTGACCACAGCACTTAGAGAATGATTAGCCACGAGCCAGCAGCAGGTGGCTACTGCCCAGAGGACCCCCGACAGGAAGCCTGCAACACACACAGGACACATCCGCAAACCCTCTTCCTCAGGTGAAACACTTTCCACAGGACAGGAATATCAAAGTGTGTACAAAAACGCCACCCCAACTCATGTGGCCAACACGGACTTTGACCTGTTTCTCATGGTCATTTTAGAAACCCCATCATTTCCTGGCTCTGGATTCTTCCGTGTGTAACGATGTATCTTTTCATGTTACTGACATGAAACGAATTCCTAGGACAGCAGCTGAAGTAGGGGTTGGGTGGTGGGGAGAGGCTCAAGGAAGGTACTAGATGCTAGATGTGAACAGTATCTGCAACCACCTTAGGTCAACTGCTTACACTTAAGCTCTGGAAATAACAGCTAACATTTCCTATCAAGTGCCCTCGTATTCCTTCACATTTGGATGGGATGTGGGGCTGCCGGGATTAGAACCGGCGCCCATATGGGATCCCAGTGCGTTTAAGGTGAGGACTTTAGCCGCTAGGCCACGCCGCCGGGCCCTTCTTTCATATTTGATAGCGACTTGACTCGAAGCAATTAGGAAAATCAATTACACGAAATTATTCAAGCTAAGTAAGCAAAGGCCAGTGCTCCACGAAACCAGAGAACTTTGTGCAGGAAGTGCTTACCCGGTAAGACTGCTGCGGGATATAGTTTAGGACTATTTTTCATGATGAGACAGTAGGCCAGGAAATAGACCGTGCTTGTAAGGAAGATGCCACTGAAGTGTGCAAACACGTAGTCCAAATCTGAAAACACACGACATAAGTCTTGCACATCACGTTTAATCGTTCCAGCTACATTCAGATTTTGAAAACTCAACACAACTGTAAAAGGAACTATTAATCATATGGACACACTGTTCACGTTGAATACTTTAATTGACATATTTAAAACCTTAGCAATATCGGGCAGTAAGTCCGTTGCTATGACCAGGTTTTTATGACTCTTGGGAAAGCGAAGAAGCAGCAGGCATCAGCTGCCTGCAATGAGAAAGCTCCCTTGTGTGCAGACTGACTTTTGCTAATGACTAGCAAATGTTCAGGTAGGCTGCAGGGGGTTATGGCTCAGTAGTTTTAGGGAACCAATGTTATATAGTTATTGATCATTCCAGAAGGATCCGGGAAGTCATCCCACCATGAGTTGCACTGTATAGCTAAGAGCACATGACATTGGCTCCACGTGTGAGAAACCAGCTCGCTCAAGCAGATGGCAGCCTGTTCACACAGATGGGTACACTACAGGACCTTGGCTGTGAGACCAGACAGCACTCAACGTTTCTGCCATCGAAGACTGACAAAGAATGGCTATGTTTGAGGAGGCAAACTGAAGGACGAAGAGCTTTTGTTTGTTCTTCTAAATCTTCCACTTCCCTTTAATATTAGCTAAGAACACCGTGTCTAGCTGTGTACTATAGCAAGAGACTAGACCCGCAGGTTGCCCGGCAGGTCGCCTTTTTATATGATTCACCGACTCTGGGACTTGGGCAAATTACCTCAAATCTCCTTGTCTCAAAATTTTCAATTGTAAAATGAGGGAAAATAATGGTATCCATTACTATGATGGCAAAGTGCTTAGGAAAGAGCCAATTTGACATATGTTTTTAATATAAACAATGCCTTCCTAAAATTATTTTTGAATAAAGTGGAATAAAGTGAATATATTCAGAGGTATCATTAAAAAAAAAATCTTCAAGAACTCGGCTGTTCTGTTTGCACAAGGATATCGCTGAGGTCATTGTTTATTATTGTCCAGTACCGAGAACAGCTTTACTCCTGGACAATCAGTGGCTGTTTGTTGTAGTCACTGGGTCGGGGACTGAAGCGATGCCCTTTGTGGCAAGAGGCTGTCTGAGAGCCAAAGCGATGACTCATCGCCAACAAGTGCATGGATTTCTACATTCATTTCTGGGTCCTTTGTTTCCCCACCCCCATTTTTCCTTCCCTTTCAATTTCTCTTGTGTTATCCCCCTTTTATTAGTTTTTATGTTTAAAAATGAAAAGTGTATAAAAAAGTATTTGAGCCAATGATTGTGAGATAAATTGAAAATATATTATGACAAAAGATTAAAGGATAAAAGGAAAGAAGGAAGGAGGAGGGAGGCAACATCATTACAATCTTGGAATTTTTATCTTTGAACTTCATGAAATCTGTTCTGTATATGCAAATAACTTTTTAAAAAGTCACAATGAAAAGTATTTGTATAAAAATAAAGGAAAATGTGAGTAAATATTAGGAGCCTTGTACCTGGGGCTAGACACAACAATGAAGAGGGAACTGGCAGCTGTTCGAAGCCCACCCCTCTTAGGAAAGTCGACTTCTAATCTTCATTTCCTCACCAATATTGCCCTCCTGACTTTTGCCCTTCACACGTCACACTTACCTAAACACTGGGAACGTTCGTTTCTCACTGCATGGGATTTAGGACTGCTTCTTCCAGGATACGACTCTCCTACCATTTCATGAGTGTAAGCTGTGTTTCAGCACAATTCTAGAACTCTCCGGAGGAGTCACTCGCTCGATTCCATTCGAGCCTGGATCAGACTATTTGATATAGCGTTGCGTTTATTCCTGAAGGATTAATTCTATCACTGGAAACTGAGGCATTATCAGGAAACGTGATACTGGGCTTTCCAATGCACTGTGCTATGTTTAAAAAATAATATTCTCTGGCTAAACAGGTTCTCTTTGACCTTTAATAAGGTTAGCGTTTGGCCTTTATTTGCAGTCAAAGTTCTACAAACTCTGCCTTAACTCATTCTCAGTGAGCAGAAGAATACATATTTTCTCAGAGATTATCTAACTATAAAATAATCTCCAAGTTTTATTGGAAAGTTAGAAACCATGCATTAGACCTGAGCCTGAAATGAATCCTGACTAAAGTGACTGCAAATGCATGTTCAAGATTTTATAAAAATATTCCATCAGCCCTTTAATACTTTGAGGATTTAATGCCTCCCTATTTTGCCACTTATAATGAAAAAGAGCAAAGGTACATACACAATATGACTATTGTTCATATGCTTCTCACAGTTCTAGAAAAATGGTAACAATGGGTTTGTAGACAAAGCAAAGTAACTTTATTCTCACCATACTGGCTCGCCCCTGCGTATGTACTGTCATTTCTTTTGCTGTGGTCCTTGATATAAAGGATTGGCACAAATGTTGATCCATACAGTATTCCAGATGTCACTGCCAGACTGCAACCCCTTGAAAGACAAATCATTGTATTGACCCAGGGCGATATTTCTGATTAACACACACTCGGAATCATGAGCAAGGTCAAAGTCAGCTCAAAGGCAGATCACAAGCAAGCAAGCAGGTATCGACTTCTCAAGCTCTGCGACTGGGACAGGCCAGGGTAATCCCTGTCAGGACACGAGGGCATCAGGGCTAGAAGGCACGACTCACAGATGTGATGGCATACCTGTATACCTTGTCACTATGCAGATGATCATTTTGTGACTATTAAATTGCCTAGTACACAACAATGAACCCAGATCTCCAACTGTGTGAACTATTTACACAACATGATATCATGCCTTATACATCTCTTTTACAGCACACAGCACAGAACGAGGACCATCTAAGTTCGCTTTTGCTGGAAACCATGGACGTGTCCCGTCTGCTCATGCCTTGGTTGATTATGGCTTAGTGAAAACAAAGTGATGATTATGGATGGCCCAAGGAGCTCAGACAAAGAAAAAATTTTTTTTTTATCAGAAGAAAATACTTCAGGTTCTGAGACCTTGCGATTGCTCAGACTTAGGCCCTGGCTGTACGAAGCAAGCCCTTGCAGTCGTGTTGGGGTGGGGGCATGATCAACAAATCTAGAACAGAACCTTAGACTTGATGTAATGGGCAGTGATATGAAACGGGAGACAGTCTCAGGCACAAGGTTGAAATGCAACTATTAATATTTTCTAGTGAATTCAGCAGTTGAGCAAACCAACAAATAAGAGCACTGTAAGATACGGAGGCTGAACTTGAGACAACACTCACGTTGAGTCCTTCCGGGGAGAGTGGGCTGCTGCTCACACAGACACAATTCAAGCACAAACGCCTTGGGATTATACAGCCAACATGTGAGCAGAAGAATCCCCAGCTTAGGCAGGGCAGCTGGCAGCGGTCTAGATCAGATTGACTCTGATCACTGCGAGTCCGGGGCAGGTTATATTCCCTCTTTCACTGGAGGCCCAAGAGTCCCGCCCAAGTGAATTTATTTCTGTCTGCTCCTTACTGGTTAGAGAAGCCATCTGGGCTTGGTAATTCCTGAGGCAGCTCAGAGACTGTGCCGAACTTGGCAGAGGGGCTAGAAGTCAGTGCTTGAGTGGCTAGCTTTTGAACTCAGAAGGCCCACAACATGATGCTGATAATCGCTGCTTTTGTCCAATACGAACGCAATGACAGAGAAAAGAAGTAACATTTCCTTACACTATGCGATGGTGAGCGGTGGACAGTTTATCCACCCAGGTGTTACTGCAGTCACTGGGACGGGAGTCTTGAGCTGAGTTGATCACCTGTTGAGAACGGTGGCACAAAACAACAGAAAGAACTAAAATCACAAAAGAAGTCCAGTCAAAAAGATTTCCACTTTTCCTCTCGTCAACATAATCTAAAATACAAACATGTCAGGGCACAGTGTCCTAACTGGCTGCTTGGGCTGCTGCAAACCCTGCTGCTAATGTACATGAAAGTGGCAGAGCATGGCACATGCACCTGCGTTCAACAGCTGCGTGGGTGAACTGGACGTGAACTGGACGGCATTCCCAGCTCCTGTTTGTTTTGCCTTGGCCCAATCCCAATCATTGCATGCATTTGAGGAGTAAAACCACAGATGAAAGATCTTTTTTCAAATAAAAAAATAAATCTTTAAAATACAAGTATGTCACCAATATATTCTGCTCATTCTATAACCAAATATTTCTGATTCTGCTCCTCTTTACTGTTTATTTTGTATTATTATTATTATTTTATCTGAAAGGCCAAGTTATGGAGAGAAGGAGTGGCAGAGTGAGAGATCTCTCATCCACAGGTTTACTCTCCAAATAGCCACAAGGCCTGGAGCTGAGCTGATCCAAAGCCAGGAGCCAGGAGCCTCTTCTGGGTTTCCCATGTGGGTGCAAGGGCCCAATGACTCAGGCTTTCCTCTGTTGCTTCCTCAAGCCATAGGTGGGAGCTGGATCTGAAGTGGAGCAGCCAGGACATGAACTAGTGCCCACATGGAATGCTGGTGTGCTAGGTGGAGGTCCAACCAACCATGTCAGGCACTGACCCATTTGCTCCTCTTTAATTCAGAATAGTTTACCAGTTGGAAGGCATCCTGCACACACATTTGTTTCTCTATTTTTCAGTAATCTGTAGAGAACTTAGAACTATAAAACACTCAAGACTCCTTCAGTGCAAGCCTTTAAATCAGTAAGCATTTTAACACTGCTTTCTTTCCTAGAATAAGTGATAATACATTTGCAGCCAGATTTCCAGATAAAGTGAATATTCTAAGGCAGGAAAATAAGGAGTAAATTCCTGCTATTTCGACTATTGAAGGTACTCGGCTGTGCTGATCAACAGGTGTCGCTGATGATAGAAGCTCAATGCTGGTTTTTCCAGGTAGGGAACTAGACTGGAATTCTTTGACAAGGATTAAATCCAATTTTGCTTTTTGCATGGAAAGGAGCTCATGCCTTACGGTTGCATACTAACTTACCATGTTGTTTCTGCCTTAAAAAAAAAAAAGATTTATTTATTTACTTGAAAGTCAGAGTTAGGGCCCAGCACAGTGGCCTAGTGGCTAAAGTCCTCGCCTTGAATGCTCCAGGTTCCCATAAAGGTGCCAGTTCTAATCCTGGCTGCCCTGCTTCTCGTTCAGCTCCCTGCTTTTGGCCTGGGAAAGCAGTCGAGGACGGCCCAAAGCCTTGGGACCCTGCACCTGCGTGGGAGATCCAGAAAAAGCTCCTGGTTCCTGGCTTTGCACTGACTCAGCTCTGGCTGTCGTGGTCACTTGGGGTGTGAACCACAGGACGGAAGATCTTCCTCTCTGTATCTCTGACTTTCCAATAAAAATAAATAAATCTTAAAAAAAAACCCATTATCTTCCTGCCAATGTTTCAAATCATAATTTTGTGTAGAAATGGCTGTACTCACATGTTCCGTCATTAATGGTGTGACATCCACGGGACAAGCATTATTTGGTATTTCACTTTTGATGAACAAAAATATGAAAGCACTGTAAGAAAAATGAAATTCCAGTGATATTTCTCCAAACGCTGGTCTACACCTAGCTGCCCATGTTTTTTTTTATTACGTAAGTTGTTCTTTATTTACAAGATCATTCACAAAATATAGTATGTTGGTGCGACACAAATGGCTCTGACTGCAGAAGCAGGAGGGGACGGGAGGAGGAGGAAGAAGAGAAGGAGTTTTGGAAACTGCTCACACTTTGCAACAAAGACAAGGAGAAGCCAGGGCGGCTGGAGCCAGAGCCAAGGTCTACACTGTGCTGCCCTGCTCAGGCCAGCCCGGGCTCCAGCCGCCCCCACATCCCCTGCTGGACCAGAGCGCCTCTTGGGTGCCAGGGCTAACCTGTTCCCAGCCCCAAAGTCCCTGCCTGGGGAAGCACCCGCACCATACACAGGCACGGGCTGTCTCTCGCCGTCCCTGCAGCTATCTGCGGTCCTCGGCCGCTCTGCAGAGTGGACGCGGTCCTGAACCCAGTGAAGCCAGGACGGTGGGCAGCCCAGCTTCTCCTTGTCACCTACGCCAGGGCTACAGAGAAGCACGAGGGACACAGGGTCTGGGGAAGGCCTCATGGGCACAGCACTGCAAGAAAAATGAATTTTCAGTGATATTTATCCAAGCACTGGAAAAGTGATTCTGGTTGAGAAACGGAGAAGGCAAAGTGAAACGAGAGAAACCAACCAGCGAGCCAGGGCCCGTGGGTTCTGAGCAGCACTGTCCCCTTCCGGAAGGCAGGAGCCTTGGGGCATGTGTGTCTGGAACGTGTGGCCTGGTGCAGGGTGGGATGTGCAGACCGTGGCCCAGGGCCAAGGTCAGGGCTGGAAGCAGACATGTGGGTTTCTTCACAACACGAAAGACTGGCTGAAATGCAGGAGTAAACCATCCCCTGGGACAGCAAGTTCAGTGAAAAGAGACTGGAAAGCAGATTTCTCCAAAAATAATCTAAAGCATATTACTCTTTTTTTTTTTTAATTGAAAAAAAAGTCTACCTCGTAAGAGAATGCTGACGCCTGGTTTTCATTAAAGCAACAGCTGAGGCAATGTCCTGGCATGTTGTTCTTGGTGTCAGCTCCCCTCCCACCCAGAGCCTCAAGTACAAAAGCACCATCTCCCCAGCTCGGCTGGCACTCGCCAGCGGGAGGTCCCTGAGAAGAGGGAAAGCTGGAAGACGCCTAGTGGCACCGGGCAGAGGGAACTGTTGCAGAAGTGCCAGCCGGACTTGTGGGTGTTTGGGTTGTGGGTGTGGCCACCCTCTGGATCTCACAACGCTTTTACCACTAACTCCCTGTGTTGCATTCTTTCCTATATGAAATACCTCGGCTGGTTTATCTCAAACATACTGTTATTTGTGAAACCCTCGACCTGCCTCTTTAAAACATGAAGCTGTACAAAGGATGGAAGCAGTACTTTTAACTTTAAAAAGAAAAGCCACATTCTAAATCAACACAACTATATTCCAATTTTTTTTTTTTTAAATACAGACTAGGAAACTCTGAGTTTCTTCAATGGATACTTTTCAGTATAAACTGGTTTAACTGAGTGAGGAGGATGAGATGAGATTTTGGGAGTTCCTCTCCTTAGAGAAACATAAATTCAGCGTTGGACATGTGATGGGGAGAGAATATTTTGCTGCCCAGCTGCCACGTCAAGCTCCAAACTGGGCTGCAAGGGCACTGGGCAGATTAACATACATTTGGACAATGTGCGCCCCAAGGGGAAGCGTTAATTGAAAACGAACAGTTATGAATAAAGATAATCATTAAACTAGATGCACAGCTATATTTTTATTAATATAAAAGCAGTTTCAGGGCGCTTACATTTGTTTAACTTAACTCAAAGCAGCTGGTGAACTTGCTGCTGTCTTTCCGAAGCAGGAAGCCAAGGCTTAGGCAAACAAGGCGATCTGTGCAGGGTCATACCAAAACATTCATTTACAATTGCACTTCCTTTGAAAAAATAATTCAGAAATAAGCCGAAAAGGAATGCCTGTTGGACTAGGTAAACTGGGCTTAAGCCAGAATGCCTCGTTAGTCTTTGAGTTCGGATTGTTTCTGGGACAGAGCGATGCAAAGCTAGAATTCTATGTGAACTGCACAAAGCACCAAAGTGCTTTCACCAAAGAAGTGTTAGGAATCCACCACTTGAGAATAATCGATGTTACTTCTTCTCCAGTAGAACTGGACCACTCCCTAAGGCAACATTTCAATGACAAAGAGATTGTTCCTGCATGTGTCTGGGGAGAAGCCAGCATAGCTGGGAACAAAATGCACTGTTCCTCTCCTCAAAGGGAAAGAAAAGTACTAAAATCTTTCCAGGCAGTGGCAGCCATTATGGGTGGCACTGACAGGGAATATAAATGCAGTTCAGAGAGGAGAGGGGACAGAATTTAAGGTCACCTCATTCCCATTAGGTTTTATTGACCAAACTCTGCCATGCTGAAATCTAAACTTATTTTCATCCTCATTCATAGTGCTTACTGGGTCACAAGGATGCACCATCCCACACGGGAGACCTGAGCTGGACTAGCTAGCATGTATCACTGCCAACCACCACTCACCAGCACACATGAAAGCCAGGGCACTTGGCAGGGCTAGACATTGAGCATGGGCAGAGCAACCACTGGCATGCACAAGATCTATGGCTGGGGTCAGATCTGCTAGGGGAGCTAGGGGGATACTCCGGCTGGTTTGTGGTTCCCACTGGTGAACATGGGAACCGGAATGGGGGCAGTGGTGGGCTGGGTCACAGTATCCACCGGTTTATGTAAGAGGTTGGAGACAGAAATGATCCAGCAATTGCAACTACCAGTGTGTGTGTAGGTTGAAGTAGGTGACAGACATAGGCAGACCCTGTACTGGCAAGCACACACAAGAGTCAGGTCTGGGGTCACCTCAGACAAGGTTTCTTTCAGGATCCCCCTAACTGCTCCAATCATGGGGAGAATCACAGGAGCTGTCATTTGACCATGAAATGACTGTGCCAGAACTGGGCCTCCTCGGTGGATCAGACGAAGCAGTGTACGGCACACCCAGGTGCACATGCAGAATATGGCTGTCCACTGGGGCCTGCAGAGGACATCTGGTACCCTAGCAGAGGATGGAGGGCAGAATGAAGCGGTCAATTACCCCAGCCAAGCACTGACAGCAAGTATCTGGGTGAATGGAGACGTTAAGGTGGACTACATCAGCCGATGGATCTTAGGAGGATTTCCTCATCCTTGGATTGGTGAGACTGACAGCGTTTCAGAACTAGTGCAACCATGGAAGTAGGATGCTTGGAGCACGCTCCACATTGGGGACCCTGGGATGACATCAGGTGGCTGTTCCCCATCTCTGGGTCCCGAGGTAGTTGGAAGGCTGGGTGTAGCCCTGCTCTTATCTCCTCCCTTCCTCCAGATACAGGAAGGAGGAAAAGAAAATGTGTCAACAATGGTCTCACCCACTTTCCCCTAATCCTCAACTCTTTCTACCCTAGTCAACTATGTAAACATCATCAAAGATAAAATTAAAAAAAGAAAATATTAGAACATTCTAGAGATAGACACTTTGTAAGTTTTAAATTGCACACAGTTCTAAGTAGCATTACGAATTATCATGTAATTCCATGCTGCCCCCTTCTCCCCTGCCTGGACACCAATCAGTCCTCTGCCTAGCGTATCTGCGTGGAGGTGTACGTCTCACTCGCCCCGGCGTTGAGCGGTCATCTCCACCTGCAGCTGTCACAGCATCACCATGTCTGTGTCGGAGCCTTACTTTTATTAAAATGGCCAGAAAGCATAAGGGTAGAGATGCTCTCAGTTCAGACACACCAAAGATAAGCTGCTAAACACGTCTTTGAAGTGAAAACCTAGAGTCTTGACTTTAAAAAAGGAAAATAATTGTATATGAGGTTGCCATGAACCACACTAAGGACAATCCCTTTGTTTGTGGAATGGGGAAGAAGGAAAAAGAAGTGTGTGTTAATTTTGTTCTATCCTTCCAACTTTAACAGCTAAGTGCATCCCTAAGGGGTGAAATGAAAGGGTCGGGCACTGTGTATCCCCTTGGGGTGTGGGAGGATATTCCTCCTGGAGAAGAGGGGACCACCTTTGCGAATAGAAAGAAAAACAACATCACTACAGGCCCGTAAGGCAGCCAGCATAATATTTTCCTATGTAAGATGTTTTAGTGGGCAGAAACATACCTTCTGGTTCTAATTTATGAACTACGCATTGTGATTTGCTACATGGTGTAGATCATGAAATGGAGTTTTGAAGCAATTAAATTCTTTTCCCAAGTTCTTAGAGCTTTTGAGGGATAAATCTGATCCCAGACATGGGAGCATTTGTGTAGGAAGAATCTGGGGGAAAGTGAGGCTGATCCTATAAAATTCAGCTTGAAAAGAATTGCACACCCGTGTGGTCTTGAGAAGACACAAACCAGTTAGAGATGGCCACATACCTTACTACTGAGAGCCCAGCGCCAACGTAATTCAACAACGGTCTTGGGACCTCTTGTGCATCCATTCCAAACCAGCCAAACCTGGAAATTCAGAAAGTTGCACCAACTTAGATGTGAGTGTCACGTGTCATCTTTAAGGACATGGATTGGGGACCAGTTTCCTGGCACCAGCTTCTGATTCTGTCTCTTTGATTTCGGTTAATTTGCCTTCCCTGTACCTCAATTTTCTCTGCTAACATGGAGTCAACATTTGGTCTTATCAGTTTATTATGAAGAATGGGGTAATTTAAACAAAAGCGCATGAGAATCTTCGTTTCTTATTAAGACCAAAGACGAAGTAAATTGCCAAAAGGTCAACTGATGTGAATTAATTCACTGCAATTGTGCATACTGTTTAGAAGATTTTTAAAAATCCCTCCTCGGGCCCGGCGCGGTGGCGCAAGTGGTTAAGTCCTCGCCTTGCACGCCCGGGATCCCATATGGGCGCCGGTTCTAATCCTGGCAGCCCCGCTTCCCTTCCAGCTCCCTGCCTGTGGCCTGGGAAAGCAGCCGAGGACGGCCCAAAGCTTTGGGAACCTGCACCCGCGTGGGAGACCCGGAAGAGGCTCCTGGCTTCGGATCGGCATAGTATCGACCCGTTGCGGCTCACTTGGGGAGTGAATCATCGGATGGAAGATCTTCCTCTCTGTATCTCCTCTCTGTATATCCACCTTCCCAATAAAAAATAATAAAAATAAATCTTTAAAAAAAAAAATCCCTCCTCCTAAACATCAGTTTCTTCCTTTCCTTTTTTTTTTTTCCCCTTTCCTGGTTATTGCCATGGCAAGCACCAAGAATTATGTTGAACCATCTTGGCCATGAGAAAAAGTATCAAGAACAAGAATAGTATTTGTGCAAAGCAAGGTGGGAGTGCAGGCAAAGGTCAGGAAAGAACAACTTGGAAAGCAACTTATTCACCTGTCTTTGTTGTTAAATGTAGTCTGTAATATTTTGAGTGGAAGAGCCCAAAAATTGAGGTGCAGACAACGCGTTCTACTCTACTACTTTTCCCAGTGTGATGTGTCAATCTGAACACTGACTGAATCCGTTAGAAGTTTCTGTGATGACGGGACTACATACACAGCAATTGCACCAAATGACAGGTGCAAACACTGAGCATTTGTGACCTGGCTAAGTTAGGATGAGCTATGTGTATTTTACTAGCTGTGTTCTCCAGAAGAATACAAATGACATGTTACTGTTCTCAGGCCGCCCAGTCCTTAGCGGTTGCCTTACATGGAGAGTATGGGTGCAGGGAATCTTAGGTTAAAGAGTTTGACTGGTGTTACCTTGAGCTTGCCCAGCCAGTTAAGGCGTTAAATGATCCCCAGATTAACATTCCAAGGCCTAAACCAATGGTTTTGATAATTGGGACAACAGCAATGTTCCCTGTAAGTGTAATATACAGAAGAAATGTGTTATTTCCAATACAGAAGATACACTCATAGGATGAATTATTATTTATTCTAACTTCAATCATAAAATTTCAATCATAACTCATAGGATTTGGACAAACTTTAGTCACTCACAATTCCTTATTTTGAAGATAAACACTCTTTTGGCATTTGACTTACGATTATGACTGTTAAAAGAACTGAGCTTAAGGGGAAATCCTACAATGAAAGATGGTGAATTAGCTTCTTGCCAAACCATACAATGTGTTCTTCAGCCTTGATGTGGGTTTCTGTTCTATGGCTCCTTGCAGCAGATGTCAGCGGTACCAGTAGCAGTGACTGTCCTCTAAGGCTCTGCAAAGGACCAACTATGGGCAGAGGTCTTCAAGCCCTTCTGTGCTCGCTGCCTTGCTTTCAGATTCTGAATTCTAAGCTTCATGTTACTATGTGTGAGTAGCACAATGAAACCCCAAAACGTCTTCTTTTGAGCAGTCTCATCCTATTACTAGTCAGGCCTCAGTTCACAAGCTGATCCTAAAAGGTCTCCTCGTTAGGGGTAGGTGATTTTCCCTTTAGCTGAGACGCACTCCTATTACATTAGAGGGCTGCTAACTCCGGCTAGCTTCCTGCACAGGCACGTCCTGGGAGACAGCAGGTGATGGCTCGACTGATTGGTTCTGAGGGATTGACAGAGCTAAGCACTGACACCTGGACGGAGTTTCTGCCTCACTACTCTGACTTGGCCCTGTTAGGGCTAATGAATGCACTGGGGAAGTGAACAAGCAGCTTGGAACTCTCTCATCTAGCTCTCTCTATCGAATAACCTTTAAAAGAAAAACTCCTTTTGACTTTTAAAATGTCATTATCTGATGTTCCATCTCTTTCAAACAGTATTTATTTATTTTTTTATTTGAAGGAAGATTTGACAGAGAGAGAAGGACAGAGAGAGACATCCTCCATCTGCTTGTTCACTCTCCGAGTGGCCGCAATGGTTCAGAGCTGAGCTGATCTGAAACCAGAAGCTTCTTCTGGGTCTCCCCATGGGTGCAGGACTCACAGGCCTTATCAGCCATTGCTCATTATCTCAGGCCATAACCAGGAAGCTGCCGGGGATGTGCAGCAGCTGAGACACAAAGCCATGCCCATATGGGATGGCGGTGCTTGCAGGCACAGGACTAGCGTGCTACCCCACGGCGTGGGCCCCCTCCTATTTTTTCCCCTCTAGCTCTTTCTCTGGCTGTTCTTTTCCACCATTCCTTCTGAAACAAGGCATCCACTGAAGACCCTCCCCTGAGCATGTCCTTCCCCTCCTCCTAGTCTCTGATGAGTACTTGACCCAACAGCATGATTTCAGACGAGTGCTAGGGTCACACACTTGCTGTGTTACTGCCCTGGTGTGGACAGGACCTAGTGCGTTCAGTGCCAAGCTCCAAATTTCTGGTAAAAACAAAAAATCAGTAACCACATGTTTTCGACTGTGGGCACATCAACACGTTCAAATTCAGTTCTCAAATTGAATGAATTATTTTCCCTTGCAACAATGTTCGGTAAACTCGCATTTACCGAGGGTGGGAAAGACCCACCCTCCCAATCGCAGAGGTTGGCTGCGCCCTTCTCTCTCCCCATTAGATTAAAAAACCACCACACGGGAACATGATGAACAGTAATGTAAGAGATCCAACTCCTGCAGCCTTGCACTCAGGAATTTCATTAAATCATCTAATCGCTAATAGCTCAGAATAAGTGGATAATCAATCGACAGTTAATTCCTTTTTTGTTTTTAACACAATGATTTCTAAAGATTTCTGATTCTTGAAATTCTCCTTGTTAGAGCCAAAAATCCCTGTCGTGTGCTTCTGTCATTGACGCGGCAGGGCCGTGCTGGCTGGGAGTACACAACGCCCAGGCAGGTCACTGTGGGTACTGATAAGGCGGCAGGCAGAACATTTTTATTTGTTTTTTTTTTCTTTCCGAATACTAGTGTGTGTGTGTTTTTCCTTATTAGGGGTAAGTCTGAAAAAATGGCATCAGCTGAGACTTCTATTTAATATTCCAGTAAACATGTGTGAGAAAGGTCATAAAATGTAAAAATATGAGTTATTCTTAAAAGTGATTGAAACATTTTTACTATAATTTTCTACCAGGAACTTGGAAGGAAATCATAACAGAACCAGGCCTGGAAATACATCAATTATCTCTATCAGTCACCTGAAAGGGAAAAGATGCGGTAGCTAATATTTTATATCCGTGACTATAAAGATGATTCAGAATTATAATAATGTGTGCTCACTTTCCTGGTCTGAGAGTTATTCTGATGATTGCATAAATTGATTAGAGAATAAGGCAGAGCAAACGTTACCTGTTGCCCAAATGCAGCCCCCAAGCATTGCAAAAGGCCAAAACTTAGGGCAGTGCAATATCAGGTTGACCACCACTGCAACCAACCAGATGGCGGCGCAGAGAACCCACTGGAGGAACATACCTGGAAACAAAAGAACCAGACATTACTGGAGCAAGGTGATTTGAGTAAACGAGTGCTCGGGACTATCGGTGAGTTATTCTGAGGACAAGACTGCAACTTACTGAATTCCTGAATGCCAAGCACTTTCCCTTTTCATTCTTACAACACACACGTCACAGCTAATCCTAACGCACAGAGAAAACCAAACTGAGATCAGTGATTTTTTTCTAACAGCTGGAATTTTGTAGAACTGGAATTGATGCCCAGGTTGACTTGAAAGTCAGTCTACACATGACACATATCTGGTCGACATTCACTTTTTTCTCCCACTTATTAGGCAAATCAAAAAGTTACTATGGGGCTGGCATGGTGGCACAGCAAACCACCACGCCACCTGCACTGCCAGCATCCTCTATGGGAACAGGTTCACGTCCTGTCTGCTTACAGCATGGGAAAGCAGCAGAGGCTGGCTCAAGTCCTTGGCCCCCCGCATCACGTGGGAGACCCGAAAGAAGTTCCTGGCCCCCAGCTTTGGATGATCGCAGCTCTGGACGTTGTGGCCGTCTGGGGAGTGAGCGAGCGGATGGAGGACCTCTGTCTTTCTCTCCTCTCTGTGGGTCTGCCTTTCAAATAAAATAAATAAATCTTTTTAAAGAAAAGAAGTTTGTACTTGAAATTGGCAAGACTCATTTTATATTTTGTTACATTTTGTTACCCTCAGAGAGAGGAACCGGATATGTCAAACTGCCTCGTGGGGCACTGCTTCTCATACAGCGCCTAGCTTGAGTCCCAGCTATCTACTTCTGATGGCAGCTTCCCGCTCAGGCGCACAGGGACACGTGATGACACGCTGCCACAGGCAGCTGGTAAAATAAATCAACAAGTGCATGGAAGAGCCCGGCAGACTGTGTCTGGAACCTTGAGTTCCCGGATTGCTACCCTGGAGATGCAGGTCAAACTGCAGCCAATGGTCTGTGAATGGGCACAGGCCTGAGAGCCAGGCCAAGGCCCGTGGGCCAGAGTCTCCAGCTGGGCAGCGGTCCAAGGCCACAGGGCTGTGTGCTGTGGATATCCTTGAGGCAGTCAAAGACTGCTTCTTATTAATTTATTTTTATTGGAAAGGTAGATATACAGACAAGAGGAGAGACAGAGAGGAAGATCTTCCATCTGCTTATTCACTCCCCAAGTAGCTGCAACGGCTGGAAGAAACGATCCAAAGCCAGAAGCCAGGAGCCTCTTCTGGGTCTCCCACGTGGGTGCAGGGTCCCAAGACTTTGGGCCATTCTTGACTGCTTTCCCAGGTCACAAACAGAGAGCTGGATGGGAAGTGGGGCTGCCAGGATTAGAACTGGTGGCCATATGGGATCCCAGAGCATTCGAGGCGAGGACCTAGCTGCTAGGCTGCCATACCGGGCCCATGAACTGGCTCCTGTACTTGGATTACACTGTTGCTTTCTGATCATTGAGCACTGGTGGGTTAACATCAACGTGGCACATCTATCAACATGCGTGCCACATCAGCTCCAGTAAGTTGACTCCCGAGTAGTTCAGTAAAAGATGGAGGCGGCAAGCCTTCTGGGTCAACCCTGCCAAGAGAAAGGGGCTTCTTCTGGCTGCCTGCTTTCACAGTCTACCTGGTACTTGTCTCATTTCTTATTTTGTCAATTGCATGTCACTCCGTTCTAACCCTGTTCGTGCTGAGCTGGTCGCGGGACAATCCTGGATGTCGTTGACATTTGGAGATGAAACCGGCAGATAGATAGTTCTGTTTCCATCTCTCTGCCTTCCAATTAAAATGGAAATAGAAACATAATTAATCACAATGCCATCCATCACTGGAAACATGGCATTAATCACAACAGTAAACAGCGATCTGAACATCCGGGGCTCATTTACAAATCCATGCCACTGCCGGCCACTCGGAGGCCTCCCACTGGCTTAATGCCTCAGCTGAGCCAGACATTGCAAATGCAGGAATCGCTCCTCTGGGCGAGGCGTTCACTGCTTCCCCGCTTCCCTCCGACCCTGCGCCAGGAATCTGCGGACCTTATGCTAAGAGTTCTATTCGTTCCTTGTGCAGCTACTGCATCATCAAGGATGCAGGAACTCAGACAGAAAATCGGCTGCTAAGCTCTGAGACAAAAGAGCAGTGTCACAGAGATGAACGGGAAGTTCATCTTACAACTTCTTCATTTTAGAAATAAGAAACTGAAAACAAAAAAACTGCCAAGACTTGCCCAGGATCACAAAATGAATCCTAGAAGCCAAAAGGTGGATCCACCATCCTGTTTTTCTGTTAGTGGCTTCCATTCCCATCCAGCCTCAAAGAAAAACAAAGTCCCTGGCTCTGGAGCGAGAAGACTCACACGTCACTGTGCAAGCAGCGTGGAGACAAGGAATCGGGACAAGAACACGCCAGTTCACTGTAATACTCTCCCAACTCCGGGATGGGGTTCAGGAAGCCAAGCGTGTCCTCGCTTCTCTTTCCGTAAAATTTACACTGCGGGGTTGCTTTAACATGACATGTATTCCTGAAAATCATGATGTTATACAACTCAAACAGTAAAACCCACAGAGTATATAGGCAATATGTTAGGGAACAACACTCAAAAGCTTCATCAGCAATGTTATACATATTAAAACACACACACACACAGTGGGCCCAGCGTGATAGCCTAATGGCTGAAGTCCTTGCCTTGAATGCGCCGGGATCCCATATGGGTACCTGTTCTAATCCTGGCGGCCCTTACTTCCCATCCAGCTCCCTGCTTGTGGCCTGGGAAAGCAGTTGAGGATGGCCCAAAGTTTTGGGACCATGCACTCACCCAATGGGGAGACCCGGTAGAAGCTCTTGGCTCCTGGCTTCGGATAGGTTCAGCTCTGGCTGTTGTGCTCACTTGGGGAGTGAGTGAGCACATGGAAGATCTTCTTCTCTGCTCCTCTGTGTATTTCTGCCTTTCCAATAAAAATAAAAATAAATCTTAAAAAAAAATACACAGCAATCTTACAAAAAGGACAGTTTCAACTGGTCAGTGGGTTAAATGCATGCACATTGTCACTTGGACAGACAGGAAGCTTGTCTGTGGAGCAGGACCTGGAAGGCCCGCAGCCTGTGGGTTAGTGCAACGCTGGGACACGGAGGGCTTTGACACCACATGCCGGCGGACGTGCAGCATCTGCATTTTGTGTCCAATCACCAGCTATATTCATGCAGGCAAAGCTCCGTGTTCTTCCAGTTGTCTCTTACGGAAAATGATGCGTATCCACAGGCACGTAAGTCAGGCTGCGGCCACTGCTCTCCAACCATTAGCTGTGCAGCAAAGTTGTAAGTCAGGCTGCGGCCACTGCTCTCCAGCCATTAGCTGTGCAGCAAAGTTGCTTTTTCCAAATGAGCATTATTACTAGAACTGTCCTTTTTTATATTTCTTTATTTTATCGAGAACTGTCCTTAATTTCCTTCTCTATGAACATCCAAGCATGGCTACCAAGCTTCCTTGCTAGTGCCTACCCTGCCTTTACCAGAAATAGAATTTTAAGGATAAGCCTACCATGATCAACTCTCAGACAAAACGGAATGAGTGTTATGACTTATTTAAAAACTCTACTTATCAGGCACGAAGACCAATGCCATTTATTCTTCTGTTATGTATTTGAAAGGCAGAGAGAGAGAGAATGGCATTCCTCAAATCCCGTGACAGCCAGCAGCCAGTGCTGGGCCAAGGTTGGGAGCCAACGCGAGCCTCCCACGGGTGACAGAGGCCCACTGACTCGCGTCCCCACTGACCCCTGCCAGGTGCACATTAGCGGGAAGCTGGGATGGGGCATGCAGCTGGAACCGGAGCCCGGGCGTTCCAACAGAGCAGCTTGCATCTGAATCAGCTGGTCAACGTTGATTTCACCGAAATTGATTTTTATGGATAGGATTTTTAAAATATCAAGAAAAGACAACTTAATCCCGGAGCCTATGGAACTGTATCATAAAATAATAACAAAAAACGAAAAAGAAAGAAAAGAGAACATCACATTTGAAAGTAAATGAAGGTTAGCAATGGTGGGAAAGAAACAATTACCATCACCAGTATCATATTTTTTCAGTGGCACAAAGTTCGAGCCGAATAAAAGGACCGCTACGGAGCATGAGACGTAACCCACGGCCGGGGTTGTTGCATTGCTGCTCATGGCTGCAGGTCTGGAAGGAGCTGCTAGAGTCTTGACCTACTTTCCAGCCGCTTCTGAAAAACAGAGAAACAGAAATACAACCATTGCAAGTTGTGAATCTGTGAAGAAAAACCACATTCAGTTTTCCACGAGTCGGTTAAGACTCCTTGCACGCAGCTACAAATTATACAACTATATAGTATGCTTATACTCTACTGTTGTTTATTGTTTTCATTCACAATGGAAAACAAATCCTTTCGTTTTTACCACTAAGGGACAATTAAAAAAAAACACACTTTTTCAGAGCTTAAAATAAAAACTTCTTACAGATCTGGATACAACTTTTTATTATTTTATGAAAAAGTTCTGGGCAGGCAGGCTGATAGAATGCAAGGTTTCTTGGCCAGGACCGTTTCCTTCAGCTGCTGTAATAATCGAATAAGAAAGCATCCAGGAAGACTGTAAGAACTAGCTTTTGTTCAGACTTGAGCATTGATTGTGTCATAGCTACACACTCGGCATCCCGTCCAGGGAAGGAGCCCTTCCTTTCTCAAGGGCATACCCGTCAGAGGTGCAAAGTTCTAACAGATGCGAGTGCCTGTTCCATCATGACTTTAAGAAGCTGAAGTATGGTTGCAGCACGGTAGCCTAGCAGCTGGAGTCCTTGACTTGATCGCTCTGGAATCCCGTATGGGCACTGGTTCTAATCCTGGCAGCCCCACTTCCCATTAAGCTCTCTGCTTGTGGCCTGGAAAAGCAGTCCAGGCTGGCCCAAAGTCTTGGGACCCTGCACCTGAATGGGAGACTCCGAAGAGACTCCTGGCTCGTGGCTTCAGATTGGCACAGCTCTAGCCTTTGTGGCCACATGGGGAGTGAATCAGTGGATGGAAGATTTCCTCTCTGTCTCTCTTCCTCTCTGTATATGTGACTTTGCTATAAAAATAAATAAAACCTTTTTAAAAAATGCTGATACGGTGGAAGAAACACTTCATTAATCTTACAAAGGCTCTGCGGTACACTCAGTCAGCAGAGCACGATGGGGCAGCTTGTCCACCCTGTTCTATGCACTCAGGGAGCAATCAGACACACACCTAACCAAGCCTCCATTAATGAAGCCAAAGGGAACCATGGACTTCCTCAGCCATGTCAACATGTCACAAGCGCTCATTGCGCACATGTGGCTCGCTGCCCCCAGGCAGGACAGCGCAGGCTGGAGCCGAGAACACTCCTGGGCTGGTTCCCAGAAACAGTAAGCAAAGACAAAAAAAAAAAGAAAAAGAAAAAGGAAAAGAAAATCCTATTGGGTAACACTGCTCCGCTAAATAAAAAGCTCTGGTTCCTCTAGGAGGACGAAGGCCCAAACCACAACCAAGAACCAGAGCGCGAGGCCACTGCGCACAGCTCATCTTTTCAGTGTCAAGCTCGATAAGAAAAACAAATGACACACGTGATTTACCAAAGTGAGCAAATAGTCTTCCTCATGGTACCTCCTGGAATCACGCTTCACCCACTGACCCCTGGGAAAGAACCCTCTGCTATCGGACACACGACAAGCACTCTCCCCGCCCCCACCGTGCAAATGTAAAGCGACATTGCTCACTTCTCATGGATGCACTGACAAAGGTACAGCTCACATCACGACTCCCTCCTGCTTTATTTTGTAATGCTGTCTAAGGCCCATGACTGCTCCTCACATCTGCCCGCAGAGAATACTGAAACACACAACTTTCAAAAATGTAAAAAAAAAAAAAAAAGCATTATCACAGGCACTTTAACTGATTTCAGGGGTGAGTTCAAAATTATACAGTTCATTTTAGCAAGGAAAATACTTGCTTACAATTGTATGTGCTTTCTCAAACACATTGCAGGTAGGACCAGCGAGCGTGGAAGGCACAGTGAGACTCGGCGAAGGCACTCCTGCTTTTACCGTAGGCTCTAGGACAGTGTCAGCCCCGCAGTGGCTCGCGTGGGCTCTGGCTCAAGGCGCACGCAGGTGGGTTACAGCAAGCATAAGTTGTCACAGTTGCCACAGGACACAGATGCATAAGGTACCTGGGGAGCATCCGCGGCCTGCAGAGGCCTGAGTACCAGCCAAGAAGCGCATCCCCCTCCACGTTGGTGAGAAGCAAGCAAAGCAAAAGCAAAGACTGAGTAACAAGCAGCCAGTGCCAGAGGCTGCAGAGGTGGCTCTGCGGAGGCAATCCTCAGCCCTACGCCTCTAAGATTCAGGCTGGATGCAAAGGGCAAATGGCTGCTGAATGAAATTCTCTCAGTGCTAACTGTGGGTAAAACAGACGTATTCCACACGGCCCCCGCGCAAGGCTTGAGGTCCTGTAGCTCTGTGGACGGCAGAAAGCAACGCAATACTCTCTGAAAAACAGTCTTCTTCTTCTAGCATCTCATTCTCAATTCCTATGAAGCACAAACTTGTTGCTGCATCTCCGACTGCGTTTAAACGAAACCCAGTGTCATTTCTACTTTCAAGTGCCCACGGGTCTCAATTGTATTCATTCTTTTTTTTTTTTTTCTTACACTTCCGCCTTGTAGCTTCGGAAGCTTTTCCCTAGTAATTTGAACGGGTCCACACTGCTTGTGCCGTCCCAGCCATGATTTCATTTTCAGGCAGGAGTTGTGGCAAGTCTCCCAGCAAACTCTGCCGGTCTCCCGCCCGAAGTCCACGGCGCTTGGAGGCGTTTATTCTGGCGAGGCTCCCTTCCGCCGGCCTGCCTCAAGCTCCCCCGGGGTTTCTGGGGGTCCCTGGGATTTCTGGGGGTCCCCGGGGTTTCTCGGGGCACTCACCGCACTCAGGAACGGCGGCTCCAACTCGCTGCCCCTCGGGTAGCCTCCTCTTAGCAGTCGGTGCGCAGCTGCAGGCTGATCGGTCACTCCTCTTCCCGTGGGGCCTCGGGACCCCGTGCTTCCTGCTCGCACACCTGTGGCGGGCTGGGGGCGGGCTCTAGGTCTGGCTCCCTGGGTTCAGCAGTTTAGACTTCCTGAGGAGCAGGGAGGCCACGAGCGGACAGCAGGTGCAGCCACGCCTTCCTGGGGCTGCCCTGTGACACCAGGAAGTCCACGGCGCTCTGGTCTAGAGCGGGTTGGGGAGAGAAGAAAAGGGAGCTTTGAGTCTCCACGGTCTGGGCTGTTAAAGGAGAAAACAAAAGGCTGAGTTCTTCTTGTCACATCACGTGCTTTCAATTCTTCCTAATTGCAGGCAAACAAACCAAATCGTGCAGTATAAGATGCATGCCATGTGAAACTTAGGTTCCAGACGCCTCTGTTGCAGCTGCACATGCTAACGGCTCAAGCAGGAGCTGGATTGTTTGCTTTGTTGATTTTCAATGCTAATAAGCACATTCAAGACTAGATAAAGAGATTCTCTGAGGTGTGACTCAGGAATCCTTTTTTTTTTTTAATTGGAAAATCAAGATATACAGAGAAAAAGAGATAGAAGAGCTCTGCCCATTGATTCACTCCCCAAGCAGCCGTAACAGACAGAACTGAGGCGGTCTGAAGCCAGGAGCCAGGGGTCTCTTCCAAGGTCTCCCATGCGGATGCAGGCTCCCCAGGACTAAGCAGGGAGCTGAATGGGAAGCAGGGCGGTCAGTGTTAGAACCGACGCCTATGTGGGATTCCGGAGAGTTCAGGGCGAGGACTTTAGCCACTAGGCTATCACGCCGGCCCCTCAGGAATCCGTTTACAACCTTTCTTCCCGGGTGACTGTTACGTAAAGCAGCCTGGAGAGCAATACTTCAGGCAAGGGCACAAGGTGCCCCAGCACCCTCAGGAGGACTTCAGCCATTCCTGTGAGACAGATGGGGAGACCTGAAGAATCGGGACCATGAGGTATATATTAGCTACTTATTGCTGTATGTGAAATGTGGCCTTCCAAAATGTAATTAATGATTTTGTTTTTAAAGCTGTTATCTATCTATCTATCATCCAGCTGGAGCAGCGACAGAGGGAGCCAGACAGGAGCTCTTCTAGCCACTTGTTCACTTCCTAAACATGACCACAGTACCCAGCTTTGGGTGAGGCCAAAGCCAGGAACCAAGAGCTCCACCTCTGTCTCCCACTTGAATGAAACAGGCCCAAGAACTTGGGGTATCCTCCAGCGCTTCCTCGAGCACTTTGTCGGAGAACTGGATGGGACACAAGATAACCGACTCAAAATATCACTCTGATCTGAAGTGACAGCGTAACCTGATGTAGAACATTGGTCCCTTAAAATGTCCTGTCTTAAAAGATCAGTACCAGTGCTGTCGTAATGGCTCCACCAGCTAAGCTTCCACCTGCAAACGGTGACATCTATCCACAGGTGCTAATTTATATTCCAGCTGCTCACATCCCATCCAGCTTCCTACTTATGGCCCAAGAAAGCAGTGGAGGACGGCCTAAAACCTTGGGACCTTGCACTCACATGGGAGATCCAGAAGAAGCTCCTGGCTCCTGGCTTTAGATCGGCTCAGCTCTGGCTGTACTGGCCACGTGGGGAGTGACTCCACAGATGGGATATCCTTGTCCCCTCTCTCTGTAAATCTACCTTAAAAAATCACTACATATTTATCTCTTACAGTTCCTGTGGGTTTCAGCTTTGGGAGTGCCTGGAGGAGTTCCTACTCTTACAAGGTTGCAGTCAGATATGGTCTAGGGTGCCAGTCATCTAGCGATGCAGTGCGTCCAATGGATCCGCGTCCAGGTGGCTGCTCACATGAAGTCCGAGTTGATTCTAGATGCTAAGCAAGGCCTCAGTTCCTCTTCACATGGGGTTGTCCAAGGCCCTGCTTGAGTAGGTGCTGGCTTTTCACGGGGTGAGAGGTCTAAGAAGACGGCAGTGTCATTGTCCTTTATGACCTGGCCCCTGATGTCTCACTCCACGGCTCTGGCAGTATTCTAACAGACGCACAGTTCTGCCACGAGGCGGTGTGAGAGGAGACTGTGCTGTGGCATGGATACCAGGAGGCAGACGTTGCTGCATGCCATCTTGAAGGCTGAAGACCTGGGAAGGGAAAAGCAGAGTTTCCGGAACAGTGTTCTGCACGCGCACATTCAGATGAGGTTGAGAGCAAAGGTGGAGGACAGCCTTTGCCATGTGAACACGGATGCTATCGGTGCTAAGAGTGAATGGTGCAGTGAAAGGCACGTGGGGAGGCGTGGTGGTGGTAAGGTGCTTGTGCACGTTCTCTCCGAGTTTTTAAAAATTATTTTCAATGAAAGAGGAAATAAAATCATAAGTAGGGAGTGAGGATGAGGAAAGAGGTGTTGGGGAATCATACGTATTTCAAGTTTTCTAGTATTCTTCAAGTGATGTGGTGGCCATTTCTTTATCCCTTTCTTGGCACTATTGTAAAGGAGGGCGGAAAACTCTTTTGATCACTGTTCTATTTTAGGAGGCACAGCTTGTGTTTTAGTGACGTTAAAGAAAATTCTGCATTTTTTCCATTATAGTCAGTGCTTTGGGCTTATTTTTTTCATTTGGGACTGATGAGTTTTCTGGGTTTATAGGATGGAAACTTATTCTATTAGCATCCTTTGCTTTGCAAGTAGACCTACTGCTTATCAAAGAAATTAAAATAAACAGATTTAAGAGTGCTTGAAGAAGACATTTTAAAAATATGACCTAGTCTTGTCCTCGGCTAGTCATCCTAAGACCACCAGGAGCAAGCTTGTACCACAGCTAAGTCAGCGTTACTGATTCACTGCAGTGTGGGGAACTGCACATGTGTGAGACTACGGGGTGTCTTAAACCAAGGAAGGAGAAAACAGTTACGCAGGAGTTTAGGTACCATGTGAATGAAGCACTGCGAGATGTGTTCCACTTGGACTTGTCAGCTTGGTTCCAGGTTGGTCCTGTTTACTTGGTAACCAAGTCAAGCTCAATGTTGAATGCTGAGTCAGGGCACCTGCCTCCTAAGGCCTGCATATGAACTACAAACCCAGGCCGCTTCGCCAAGTCACAAGTAACTCCTGCAGACGAGAGAGAGAGAGAGAGAGATGGTTCATTCTTCTATTCTTCTTGTGGTAATTTCCAATAGCAATGTGTCTGATAACCTAGTATTTCCAATAATCAAATTTCTGCAAGAAAGAGATAATTACCCCCCAGGATATTTAGTTGTTGGAGAATTTTAGGGTTCTCCCAAGGGTGGCAGGGGCTCAGACACTTGGACCGTCTTTTACTGCTTTGCCAGGTATATGAGCAGAGGGCTGGATCAGAAGTGGGGCAGCTGCACCCCAATCTAAACGCTGGTGTCACAGGTGGCAGGACACTGATGGCAGTAACACCCTCCTAGAACTAGTCTAATCTCCAAGGGCAGCATCCCAAGCACAAGCGAACTTTGTGTCGACCCCACCCCATCTCTGTCTCTTCACCTAAAGTCTTACCTTTCTCACCTTCCCCCAGCCTCTGTTTCTCAACACCCCGTGTCTGGCTGACGGTGGTTATGGACTTTGCTCTTTGCTTTGTCTTCTTGGAATTTTAACTCCCCCAAAAGAGGACCGTTTTTGCTGCAAATGACAGTATTTCATTATATATAGATATATATGTGTGTGTGACATGTACGATATATTTATAAATATGATTATTAAATATTTTATTATGAAGTATATGTATAACTGTATTATCTTAATATATAATAAGTCATAATATGTTACAACCTATTTTATTTCTCTATTATAAACAAATATCACATATTTCTTTATTATAAATATCACATATTTATTTATACACATATATTTATAAATTTTATACATTTATGACATATTAATATATTTTAAATATATTATGTGTATAAATATATAAATATATATTTAGCTAAACAATTGGTACTGCATTGTGTACATGTGCCATATTTTCTTTAGCTAAGCTTGTTTTGGGAGGATGCCTCCTGTGGCATCTCCCAAAGCCTCGGCGTTCATGCGTTCCACACTTAGGCTTTGTCTGTGTTCCAGCCGGAGCCTTGGAGGAGACACGCCCATTGTGACATCTTCATGTTCCTTCTTGTTGCAGCTTGCGCTGGCTGGTGACCTCCGGCAATGGCAGTTGTCTGAGGAAGCCCTCCTGCGGCTGGGACAGAAGGCGCTTCTTTTGAGGACACTCTACTGTGTTCCCATCCTCCTCCCGTGCCGAGCGAGTCACGCAGGTTTGTAAAATCCTCAGAAGTTTCTCCTCACTGTGATGCCTTCCTTGGAGCAGTTCGACTCAAGCCATTGGTGAGGCTGCTTCTATAAGCAACCATCAGACTGTAGTATTGAAGCCAAAAGCAGCAGAAGGGAAAGGAATGAAAAAGAAAAGGAGGCCGACATTGTCCAAGCCCCGATTCCTTCTCACACAAATGTTC